CTTCGAAAGCGCTTATCCCACCATCTGCGCCCAAGCATCCTTTAGTGTAATAAATTTTGCTTTAACACTGTACCTTTCTATCACTACTTGTAATTTGGTATGTTTCAACTGCATTTTAAAAATAGTAAGAATACAGACAACTATTTACAGACTTAAGTTACCAATTACAAAATGTGCAATAGTAACTCTGCAGGGGAAAATCCAACAGGCAGAACCTGACGTCGTCACCAGCACAGCAGAGGAACGATACGATACAAAATGCTGAGATGGTTCACAGCACCGCTGCTGCCATGTTTTTAGCCAGAAGTTCCAACCTGAATCTAATCACGAGGAGTGTAAGAAATACAAATGAAAGGACACCTTACAAAACAACTGTCCACTTCTAAAACATTAAGGTCAGGGGCCAGCTCAGTAGAATAAGAGTGTGCCTGGCCTGGCAAGTGCAAGGTCCTGAGTGCAATCCCCAGTACCACAAAAAAGAAAAAGTATTAAGGTCAAGACAACGAGAGGCTAGAATAAGTACTATAGGGTAAGGACACTAAGACAATAGGACAAAGACCACGCCAACCAACAGGTGGACCAAGGCTGAGGAGAAAAGCTCTGCAGAGGCTAAGAGCCGTCCTGGAACAGTGGAGGGACACAGCGGCACAACCGGGTGTGTCATGACCAACGCTCGCCATGATGTGCTGGACCTGCGAGGAGAGAGGCAGACTCCCGAGAGTCACGCATTTAATCAATATTTAAAAATAAATAAATAATGTTTTCAGCCTTAAGCATTTTTAGGTTAAAACTGGTACAATGTACTATGAGAAACACTACAGTAGGTACTTAACCTTCATGACCTAACATTTACAATTTTAGAATTTTTTTTTTTTTTGGGGGGGGGAGGCTGGCTCAGGCTGCCTCCAGGGTGGGTCTGGGGATCGAACTGCGGTCCCCTGCACCTGACTGGGTTTGCCAGAGCAGGCGCTTCGACAACTGAGCTCACCTGCAAGCCCCCAACATTTACAATTCTAAACATGCATTCATAACCATGACCACGAAACTGAGCCACACAAAATCAGATGTGTTCTGTCACTCACAAAGGTAGAAAGAGTACGGGTAGCGAGAGCGCCTACTCAGTCATCTATATTGTGTGAAAATAATAAAAATCTTTAGGTTTTAGAGACAGAAACTAGCCTCCACAAGTGCAACTAGCCGTAGTAATAATATGGAAAGTAATGAACTCAACAAGAAGTCGATATTCTTATGTAGACACTCCCTTCATGTAATAGGGAAATCACATTCCTGGTGACATATTCAGATTGATCATTTCCTACATAATCTCGGCAAAATTATGGGAGCCTATCAAATGTATTAGTGTAAAATTGTTCTTAGTTTCAGATTAAAGCTCATTCCTATACTTCTTTTAGGTACTTATATAACAATTACAGTAAGATATAGCTGATAACTGAGAACACAAGGAACGCAGTGGTCTCCACAGCACCTGGGGAAGCTGGGAGCTCAAGGGGAAGAATAAGAAAAGGCTAAAACATAACACACACAAAATTATATCTCACACACATACAAACATAATAGATGCTTCAGGCCTAATTACTCATTTACTGCTGTGTGTCTGGATCGATCCTAAGAGACCAGCACCAAACAAATCCAGAGAGAAATCCTGCCCTGTACCAATCTGCTTCTCGTGCAGCCATATCTTACAGTAAGGCCTGGATGGATAGATATGATCCATAAATCAACGAGCTGTGACATCAAGTGATTTTAGGAAGTATGAAGAAAAACGAAGAACAAAAAGAGTGATAGGAGATGAACTTGTGGCTGGAGTGCTCTCAGAAGGCTCCCTGTCTTAGGAACAGCTATCTGAGCAAAGACCATGGTGGAGTCAGGGGCCAGCAATGCGGCACCTAGAGTGAAAGCAACACCCAGGTTGTTGGCCGAGACACACATCTGAGGAAGACTGGGCGCCGAGAGAGCAGTCTGAGCAGGAGTGGCCTGGTTTCTATTCCAGCAGGGTCATTCTAACTACAAAGTTGAAAGCTGATGTTACAGGAGCTAGAATAAAAACACCCTGAGCCGAGTCCTCTGCAGTGTACAGGCAGAGGTGCTGGGGGTGTTTTCACCAAAGTAGCAGCAATGGACGTAGAGGGCGGCTAGACTCTAACTTCCAACGTAAAGAAGACAGGATTGCTGAGGGAGGGACAGAAGGTAGGATCTCAAAAGATAAAAGCCTGGAATAACAGTATAGCTTTCATGCCCATCCACCTAGTAGCATTTATTGAGGAGGAGTCTGAGAATGGAACGCACTTAGGAATGATACCCAGCCAAGAGACTTGGATGTCCGATATGTTGTAGCGCTTGTTAGTCATCACAGGAGAGGAACCCAATGAGCGGCTAAGTGTCCAGCTTCCAGGTGAGGAAGTACTAGACTGTCAAACCTAATGGAGGTACAGATACAGGTGCATGAAGCACTGTGTGCAAATGTGTTTATAAGGCTGTGCGTGTGTGTGTGTGTGTGTGTGTGTGTAAAAACAACGAATGAAGGATACAAGGATGACATAAGGGAGGAGGGAGAAGAGACTCACAAGCAGCACTTGCACTCTGTTCTGTTTTCTGGCACTGGGAATCGCACTGAGCTCCCTGCGCTCGCCAGGCAGAGCCGAGCCCTGGCGCTGCAGCCCCCGCCCCAGCGTGTTTGCTCCACATCATCTGAACATTCTGGGACCAAAACTGTACCACTCTAGTAATAAAGAGGGGTATTTTTTTCATTCCCTCAAAATAAAATAATAAGCTGAAGGAGTAAAAAATGAAACTCAAAGAGAATTATGGAGAGAGATTGCTATGAAAATAGTCAGGCAGCAATTAACTTTGTGAATTAATTCCTCATAGGTTTTTCTCTTAGACATCTACATATATACACAGTAGCGTTCCTTTGTTAAAAATGGTTCATTTTTGTTTACTGTTTTAACACAAGAGATAAGAGATAAACTGGACACTAAAAATGGCAGCTACAGAATTCAGATTGTGTCTTTTGTTAAC